GGATGGATATGATCAAAAGTGATACGGAAGAAACAAGAAACAGATATGAAAAACAAAGAAAAATCGTAAAAAAAGTTTTGAGAATGAAAAAGAGAAAGTACATGGAAAATCAGCTGAAAGAAATAGAAGAAAATTACAAAAATCGAGAAATTAGAAATTTATACCAGGGAGTAAAAAATGAAAAAAGAGGATACCAACAAAAAACAATATTTTACAAAGATAAAGAGGGAAACGCCATTAGTGGAGAAAATGAAATAGCCGCTAGATGGAAAGAATACTTCGATGAATTGCTAAATGACGAAAACAGGATAGAACAGCAACAGCCTATAAGAACGGAGAAACATAGGAACCAAATAAATGAGACAGAAGAAACACCCCCTACCAGAAACGAGATAAAGGAAATAATAAAGAAATTAAAAAATAACAAGAGTCCAGGAAGTGATAATATAACTGCAGAGATGTTCAAATATGGAGGGAAAACGCTAGAGGAGCAAATGTTCAAATTAATAAAGGAGATTTGGATTAAAGAACAACTACCACAAGAATGGACAGATGCAATTATATGCCCACTTTATAAGAAAGGCGATAGGACAGATTGTCAAAATTACAGAGGGATATCACTATTGAATACTGCATACAAAATTCTTGCAGCGTGTATAAAGGACAAATTGGCAGGAGTGATAGAAAACATTGTCGGCGAGTACCAATGTGGCTTCAGACCTGGTAGAAGTACAACAGATCAGATATTTACGCTCAGAGAATTGCAAGCGGAAAGTTATCAACACAATCTGCCGACAAGGGTCCTCTTCATTGATTTCAAACAAGCGTACGATAGAATAAAACGGAACCAAATGAGCAAAGCACTAGAAGAATTGGGTATCAGTAGAAAACTTATAAGAATGATACAAATAACGTTGTCCAAGACTGAGAGCAGAGTTAAAATAAATAATATAATGTCGGAAAAATTTGAAGTCAGTGAAGGAGTAAGGCAAGGAGATCCCCTATCATCGATACTATTCAGCTTGTGTTTGGAGAAGGTCATACGAGATGCAAATGTCAACAGAGAGGGATTGTTATACCAAAGAAAGCACCAATGTCTAGCCTTTGCAGACGATGTAGTAATACTGGCTCGAAGCAAATGGGAGCTACAAGAAGTAGTAAAGAGGCTAGATAGAGAGGCAAAGAAAATAGGCTTAGCCATCAACGAAAGTAAGACAAAATACATGGAATGGATAGATGACAGTGAACAAAAAGTGTTACGCTGTAGTGCTACACTGCGACACTTAACAAAATATCCACTTTCACCTCATCTTCAATGAAGTTCGGTTTTCTTTTTAATGGCTTGACATGTCCAAGTTCTCTGAATTGTGCATAAATTTTAGATACAGTACCTTGTGTACCTATTAGGCAACTAAGGATATCTCTGATTAAATAAGTTTGCTACTTCAACTTGACTTCTACAATTCTCCACGTAAACGATCATCATTAAAATCTCAATTCGGTGGGTCTCAGTTAAATATTTCATTTTTATTTCTGCAAGAAATTAGCTTTTAATTAGGAATTTATTATTTTAATGTAAAATGTCAACACACAACAACTGATTGATAACAATCCGCATTATTTACCGATTTAGTTTAATTAGCAGACTATCTAGACAGTTTTTACCTATTCATGACAAAAAATGTAAACATGGTTACTAAACAGAAATTTTCTCCAATATACTGACACTTAGAGTAGAAGTGTATTATTTGTATTTAGCTAATTTAAAATAATACCATAACAAGTGATAAATTATTAATTTCAAAATTTCACCTTGTATTATTCATTTATAGACCCTACATTAGGTATATAGTTCGTTGAAATCAGGTTGTTAAGAATCTTTTAAAAACATAAAAATTTACAGGGTTTCATAAAATAAGATTATCACCTGTACATTTAAATTTATATTTAAAAAGCGCACATTTAAATTTAAAAGTTAACGTGTCCCAGATTTGTGTCATTATTTTCTATAATAAGGACACAAACAATGTTATTCCATAAGTGGTTTCCACACTGTATATGTATATATATATATATATATATATATTTATATATATATATATATATATATTATATATATATATAATATATATATAAATATATATAAATATATATATATATATAATATCTTTCACACCAAAACCAGACTATATAAAAATTTTGTCTTATAAAAAAGCACTTCAAATGTATTTTATAGAATTAAAATCGGATTATTTTGGCGTCTTCAGGAATGTTTTAAAATTATAAACAATTTTTTTGCTTATAAACAAATAGAATATCTCGGTAACTATTAGCTTAAATTAAACTTAAACTAAAAAAGTTAAATTACGTGTAATGTTTCCTGAGATATGTGACCTAGGTTGGCTCCTAGACTATTAGGTTTATTTTTGAATTAAAAAAAACTTACTTGAAAGGAAAATTAGTAAAATATTTGTAGTTGAGAACTCTTTTACACAGCACTTAATTTTAGGGCATTATTTTTTACTCAAATCAATTTATTTGTAAACAATGGCACTACGGAACAATGACTAAATGTATTTACTTGATAGGGTGTTATTGGCTAAAATTGAATTATCATAAATTGAATTACGTTCATATTCATCTATTAAATTAAAGGATCTACCATGCATAATTTAATTTTCTCGCTGACTTTTTAAATTGCATTAATTCAGTTTGATTTCATGGATATCCCAACCCTCTTTATGAGGGATTACGAAACGTTGAACTTCTGTCTTTTCAAGGAGTAGGATTACTTCTAAAGTAAGTCGTAAGATAGCGTGTTTGAGTTTGTTTCGTACAAATTCTAAGCAAAAATACAGCGTTTTAATCGAATAAGTACATAATTTTAAAAAAATTAAACATTGAAATTTTTGGAATGAAAACAAATATAGCTTGAAACTAAATATTACCTAAGACGCTATATCTTAATATTTTGTTTACAAAAAAAATAATAAATAATAATGGCAAGTGTTTCTCTCTCGAGCGTCTTGTAACTACTGCTTTTAACCGTCGTCGTGGAATGCTCTGAATTAAATCTTGAATATATGCTTGAGGAGTTGTTTTCCATTCATCTTGTGCTGTAATCTTTAGCTCTATCAGTGCCATAGGAACAGAATTCCTTTTCCTAATGCGATGTTTTAAATTGTCCCACAAATGATCAATTGGATTTAAATCCAGGCAATATGGTGGCCAATATAATCTTTCAAATTGGGCATGAGGACGTGAGTTAACATACATTAGCATGGATATGTCATATTCAATATGGCCGGCAAATGGTAAAACATGATCTTCATAAATAATTTCCTCTAGATGTCAGCTGTGATTCGCCCAATAACTTAAACAAGCGGTAGATCCTTCTTACGCAATACCGCTCCATAGCATTGTGACGTTATCACCAAAACTAATGGTCTGAATTGATTTCGTAAACTCTACAGAATTAAAAAGCGGTCGTCTGCGGCACTTGTACATAATTTCCGAAATGAACCAATCTTCTTCTGTAATTTCCTGTTTCGCGATACCTTTTTCTTCGCGATACATCTTTCTTCATATCCTACCACTCGTTGGACAGACTTACATTTTTTTACTAATTCAACTTCATTGCAGTGTCTGACTGGTAGCATTATATTGTTTTAAAAAGCGAAAAAAATATAAACAAAACAGGATTTATGTTTTGTCAGCGTCATTTTAAACTACTGAACCGCCAACAAATATTACAATTTTAACACGCGATCGCTCGCGCGGGGAGCTGTTAGCACGCTAGAGATTTTTAAACGTAAAAATGGACGGCTTAGTTTTAGGTTATGAACCTCTACATCTAAGTCGTAGACATGTAATACAAGATAGACTGACTGCTGCATTACAGACGCAATTCTCCCAGTGCAACAGAGAAAACTGACGCAATGCAGTCCCTACATCTTTATCTAATGGGCCGGGTTTATCGACCACGTGACCTAAATGACCAATGAGAAGGTGACGTGGTCGATAAATGAGGTCCATTAGATAGAAATGCAGGGACTGCTTTGTGTCAGTTTTCTCTGTCGTACTGGGGGTACAGGCTGGTATATATACTGCTACTAAATTGCTTAAACATCTGCCTGAAAACTCAATGTATATTCTTTTAGTGGAATAGAAATGATAACATTTCATCACTTCTTAATATTCCTTCATCCGAACCTTCTGCAATTTTATACCTTCTATGTACCAGTTATAACTCTGTTGTCTGGGTTGTGTATTTCTTTTACCCCATTCCTTTTGTGGGAACGACATAAATTTAGAAACAGTAAGCGAATATATCTACCTGGGACAAATAATGAAAGTTAACAAAGAAAATCAAACTGCCGAAATTACCAGAAGAATAAGGTTAGCGTGGGCAGGATTTGGAAACTCAGTTGGATCTTGAAAAGCACTTAAATAGAACAATATTTGAAAACCAGAATTTACGATCAGTGTATTCTCCCTATATGGTTCACAGACGTGGACACTCACCAAGTCTAATATGGATAAAATAGTAAAAGCACAAAGAGCGATGGAAGGATCAATGCTCGGGTGAGACTTATAGACCACACTGCCAAATTAAAATGGAGCTTCGCAGGACACAATGTTCGACTGAAGGATAAGAGATGGAACCACGAAATACAACAATGGAGACCATGGTTAGGAAAGAGAAGCAGCGTAAGACCACAAATGAGATGGGCTGATGATATTAAGAAGATCGGAGGACACAACTGGAAGCAAGTGGCGCAAAATAGAAGACACTGGATTGATTTTGGGGGAGGCTTGTTCAAAGTTGCATTACTTAAGGCTGAAGAAGAAGAAGAAAACTCCTCTTGTGTGCAGATATCCGTTTTAAAGCTACTTAGGCCTCTATCTGGGTACCATATGGTGAGAAGTTAGGGTCCATATGGTATCGCCGATTTTATTTATGATCGTATTCGTACTAAAACCCTTTTTCTTATTTTTAGATTATGCCGACTCCATTCAACATTATAACTCGAACGAGGATGATCTGGGAAATTCAGGTGTACCCTGTTCAAAGCGAAAACAACGAAGATATAGGTAAATTTAATTTAAAAAAATTAAAGCATGAAAAACATTAAAGCTACAAAAATATTTTAACGTAATAGTATAAATGATTTAATCTACAAAAACTACTTTCAAAAAAAGATATTGAAACATAAAACAAATTACCACTAATAACCGACAAGGAAAAGATACACTAATACAACAGATTGCAAAATGCAATTTATACGCATAAAACATCAAAACATAAAACATCTTTCATACCATAGAGTTCCTGCCTAATTTCTCATCTACCCCCTCCACCTTCAATAATATGTACTGAATCATAAATCTTATATTAATAATTTTTAATATTTAGGAAATCGAAATCCAGAAAGTTAATTAAGCTAATCAATAACCTAACATAACGGTGAAACCAAATTGAATAAGGGAAGGAGATTATAGACATAAATGGGGAGTCCATTCTGCATCCAATTAGACAGCTAAGGGCGAGAGAGACAGAGAGAGAAAGAAAGAGAGAGAGAAGAGAGAGAGAGAGAGAGAGAGAGAAAGAGAGAGAGAGTCATCTCTATTTTTAGTTGCTAATTCTCCGACTTTTCTTGAGGGGGTCATCTTCCTTCATTTTTCCTTCATCTAGTAAGAGTAGTAAAAATGTAGCGGATAGATACCCATTTATGATCCCGATAGAGAGTAGACCTAGATTAGGGATTTAGCGCCACTGCCTATGCGAGATCCTGGATTTTTCCTCCACTTTCCTACTTCGAGGAAGCCAGGCCCAAATCCCAGTATTATCCTACCCAAACCTCAAATCCCTTCTCTATACTCCATCCTACCTTAACACTCGCCAACCCGTCTTGCCAACGTGACGAGTTATGGCTAACACATACTAAATGAGTTTTAAATAGAATCTGCTCCCTAGGTGGTTGATCAATCCTATACCTCTAAGAAGGTCAGCCTCATATAATCTGAAGGAGGTAAAAACTCATTAATACATCGAAAGCAACATGTTTATACTTATTGATAGTTCCAATGCCAGAACCCCCAAAATAACCTGAAAGAATGGAAGAAGTGGAAGAAGAACTAAATAGGATCAAACGGGATGTCCTTGGTCCAAGTGAAAGGAGACTATCAGGAGAACAATGTACAATACTCCATTCCAAATGTCGTCGCTGTAGCACTATTGATTTATAAAAGAATCAAACATCTGGTCACAAAAACTGCTGCAATCTCGGAGAGGGTCTTATACAACAGGAAGGTACAACATCCGAATAATTCTAGTATACGCTTTCACAACAGATGAAGAAATAGAGAAATTATATGAAGATATTTCGAAGGCAATGACAGAAACTAGGTCTAGGAATTACGAACGAAAGAGGAGAACGGTTAGTAATATACACACAGTAGCAAAACCTACATTGTATGAACAAATTTTTTAGGAAACCAGATAATAGAAGGTGAACCTGGATAGGCCTATACGGCTTATTCCCTTAGTATGTAAATTATCCCCTTCTTCATCATTTCTTTTATTCCTTCATATTTTAGTAATTTACAACTATCTCCCGGTATTTTAATTAGCAATACGTAGCGTTAAATAATTTGCTCTGTTTAAGCGTTTGGTAACAAATACACTTTTGTCTTCCTAATTTTTAAATACAAGTTTTGTCTTTTTGTCTTGTCTTTTTATTACCAAGATACCGGAATCTAGTAGAGTTGCAGTGCTTTGAAAATTATAAATCTTCACCAAACATAAATCTTCACTTAAACTAATAAAGTGTATATATGTATCTTAGAAGTGTAAACATTTTCGATTGTAGAACTACTTTTACCAATTACCAATTAGAAGAATTAGAGAGAGCATTTCATAAGACTCATTATCCAGATGTATTTTTTCGGGAAGAATTAGCATTAAGAATAGATCTAACTGAAGCCAGAGTGCAAGTATGGTTTCAGAATAGGAGGGCTAAATGGAGAAAACAGGAAAAGACCTTGAACAAAACGGCTCATATGCAAAATCAAAACGTCACTATTCCCATAAACGTGCCAGGTAGGTAATATTTATATGTACAGTAAAACTTGTAGAAGTCATATGTTTCCCAGTTCTCATGTTTTTTTCTGCCAGCACCTTATTGCCTTAGATTTCACAATAGCACTATAGGTATTTATTTTAATAAGAGTACTTTCGGAGACTTAAGTTTTATTAAAATTTCTAATTAAAATTTTATTATATATCAAGTATATTCTAGTAAGTATATAATTTAGATAGTCATCCGATAAACCTAAACCGATATAAATCCAATAAAGATTTTACAAGTCTCTAAAGGTTAACAATAAATAAGAACTTTTGAATACTTTAACTAAAGTGAATTGATATTTAAAGATTTTCTGTTGATAGCAACATCCTTTGTACTGAACCGGCATACATAAGCGTACATATCAAATTCAAATAGTTCACATCCATAAATCAAAGATCATTACCGATCGAGGAACGTGAAATGCAACAAACCGATCGTATGGTAACTATAAAATTATACATTGTGTTATTGAGAACCTAACTTACTGGAGCCCGCGCACTATCCAGCCCAGAATTCCTGGCTGCGGCAGCTACTGGAACGCGCGTGCTGCACTGGCAGCCCCAAATGAATATAGCTGTCTTCAGTCTCCCCGCACTTGCCGTGCAGCCAGACCTATCCCAACGATTTTAAAATGACCACCGAAACATTAACTCGGAAAGTTGAAAGATGTAAGACAATTTGAGATATATCTTCTGAAGAATACTGAGATTGAGAAGTGAAAAACTATTAGTGATTAAACCAATATTCTAGTATTATTAAAACACCGATCTAGGAATCTACAAACGTCCCAAAAATATATTTGAACTAAGCCTTTTAAGTGACGTTCTAAAATAAGTGAATGAATCCAATACCATTTCTTTATTTTGCGTTCTTACGAGATAAACGGTAAATAATTATGGCACCTTTCACGTCCATATCACTTGAAGGAACAGACAAAATTTTTCCGTCGATTGGCTGCTTATAACTGGCTGCTTATATATTTAGCCTAGCTGTGGCTTATAAATATTTATATTTAGTTTGTTTTATCGAGTTGTTATTCACCTCCATGTCTTCTGCGGTGTTGCCAATGACCATGATAATGTAATGCGTTTTATCATAATTAATTTTCAAACTCCATCCTCCAAATTGTTTTCCATATTTTTTATTATGTAGACGATGTCGTCTTGGTCTTATGTAAAAATTATTTGATTATCGGCAAACAAAAGTTCATGGATACAGTTGTCTTTAATTTTTATTCTCATCTGTCTACATTTCTTGTTCCACTTTTTAAGCGTTTCATCTATATAAAGTTTAAATATGATTGGTGATAGGCATCATTCTTGGAAGTCCTTTATCGACTTTCAGTGGTTCTGAGTAGTATATACTTTGGTGGTGGTTTTATTATCCTAACTTTTGAAATATCCTGCGGAATAATTCCGTTTGCGAATTTTCGAAAAACCTTATTTTTCGGTTGCAACCATGCCTTCTAAGCATTGGTTTCATTTTTTTAGAGCTAAGTGAATTTGCCACCCACAATTTTTAGGACTTTTTAATTATGATTATTTTGAGTTATTTTCAATTATAAAGTGGCATAATCATGAAGTGGCAGGAAGCGCAAAACTACCGCTTTAGATGATCATTTTATATAAGTCAACGCTTTGCGGGATCGTCATTTATTAAAAGAGGTGAAAACAAGAAATCAGCTTCAAGAGGTTAGAGGCAATAATGTAAGTGTACTTACAGTTCGTCGAAGATTACATGAAGTTGGTTTGCAAAGTTGCAGTCTAGTAACTGTACCTAAATTATTTCCACGGCACTTAGTGGCTAGACTACAATTTTCCAGGGAACATTGTCATTGGAATTTAGGACAATGGAGTAATGTTCTTTTTACAGATGAGTCGAGGTACTGTCTTCACTCATCAGATGTGAGAGAACGAGTATGGCCTAGAACTGAAGAGAGATTTTCGGAATGCGCTTTAGTCCGCGTTGCATAGGGTTCGGTGATGGTATGGGCAGGAATATCCCGAGAGGCGCACACTGAATTGGTATTTATTGAGGGTTTGTTGACTGCACACCGGTATATTGAGGAAATTTTAGCGAATTACGTAGTACCCTTTTCTCAATATATCGGCGATGATTTTCTATTAATGCAAGATAATGCGCGACCCCACTCTGCAATGTGTGTCACGCAATATTTAGAGGAAGTTGGTATTAATAAATTGAACTGGTCAGCGTGTTCGCCAGATATGAACCCAATAGAGCAAGCTTGGGAAATACTTGGTAGAAATATTAGAGGTCGCGAAGGTCACCAGCCTCAATTAACGAACTTCGCTTGGCTCTAGAAGAGGAATTGCAAAACATCCAGCAAGATGATATTCGCAACCTCATAGACAGCATAATCCGATGTGTACAGACGGTTATAGAGGCTAGGGGAGGCAATACAAAATATTAAGCTATTTTTTAGTTGTTTTTCTTTGTTATTTGGATAGTTAGGTTAAGTTGCATTTAAGTTGTTTTTTTATGTTTTGGTTATTGTTATAAAACCAAAATCATGTCGTTGCTTTTAATCATTATTTAAATACAGTATAAACAATAAAGGGGCTTAAAAAAGGATGTTGTCTATCTCTGACCTTATTTAAAATATACATTCATCATCGCTAAAGCAGTGGAGGAAACAAGTATCCGGAATGGGAATAGATATAGGCGATGGTAAATGTCTAACAACTTTATTTTTCGCAGATGATCAGGTAGTCGTAGCGAATGATGAGGAAGAAATTGACTACATGTTTAGAAAACTAAAGAAAGAATATGAAAAATGGGGCCCCAATATGAATATGGGAAAGACAGATTATCTTAAAATAGGAGATGATGAAGAAGATCCAGAGTTAGAAATTAGAAACACAAAAACATGCAAGGAATATAAATATCTCGGATCTATAATATCTAAAGAAGGCACTACCAAAAGAGACATCGAAAACAGAACGCAGCAGGGAAAAAAAGCGGTTAACATTCTAAACTCTCTACTATGGTCTAAAGATATTAGACAAGAAACGAAATTGACAATCTATCGAACCTTGGTAGAGCCTATTATGACTTATGGGCAGAAGTTTGGCAGATCACGAAAAAATATAGAAAAAGAATAGAAGTAGTAGAAATGGATTTTCTAAGGAGAGCGTGAGGTGTATCCAAAAAAGATCATATCAGGAATGAAGATATTAGAAGGAGGACAAATACTGTATATTCCAGTGTAGACAGAATTGAAACGAGACAACTAGTGTGGTATGGTCACGTGAAGCGAATGAATGAAGATAGATGGCCAAAGAAAGCTTTAAATTATATACCACAACAAAGAAGAAGAAAGGAAGGCCTTCAGTTGCCTGGAAAAAATGTACGACACATAATGAGAGATAGAGCCATCAAAGAAGACGTATGGATGGATAGAAAACGATGGCGGTCAAAATGCGAGAGGCGGCGGAGGCTGTAGGATCCTCGCTTTATATATATATATATATATATATATATATATATATATATATATATATTTAAATACAGTGCTTCTGGGATGTCGATATGACATTCCGTCGATATCAGTCACCAAAAGCCCCATCGTCGAATAACAAATTAATACAAAAGATAATGGTAATAATAGGAAAAGTCGTAAATCGTGGGTGGCAAAGTCATTTCACTCCTAAAAATGAACCAATTAATATTTTCGTGTGACACATGAAACAAAAAACGTAATACTTAGAAGACATGATTGCAACAGAAGAACACGGTTTTCTCCGTTGCTTTTTTTTCATCTGAGTGTATATTAAACAAATAATTGTTACAGTTCACAAGTTGCAAACAAGTTGGCCACACATGCGACAATAATATTTGAGAGAATTGGCGCTCTTCACATGAGGCAATAAAATTCATTGTTTAATGATATTAAATAGTAGTCTTGTTTGACTGTTCTACATACATTGTCTTCGTATTGCTTTCCACAGGTTTCCGGCTAGGACATTATAATAGGCGTTTTAGAGATCCACGACTACCAGCGCAATTCAGCGTTAAAGCGTTAAACGCTACTGATTTTTCTGAGCTGTTTTATAGAAAATATATCGATACCTAAGTTCCATAAAGACTCCAAAATTTTGCGTTTGGATTTAATCACAAGGAAGTGTTCATTGAGTCTTGTTTTATCTATAAAATATATAAACAAGTCAAAAATATTTTTTTCTATAGCTAATGTTAAAGTGTTGCTATAACAACTGTTTTGAGTAGATAAAGTATCACTTTAACCGCAAGGGTAGATAAAGTGACACTTTAACAGCAAGAGTAGATAAAATGTTTTAACTTTTTTTTATTCAATAAAATTTACAAATTCAAACACATTAAGGATTAAAAACAACTGAAATTTTACAATTAACATTATTAGAAATATCTATTTTTGGAGCATCACAACTTGTACTCGTTTGCTTAAACACTTGATTCGAGGTACTGGATTGATTTTCTGTAACATTTGTTTGGCATTTGTTGACAGAGTAATATCCCTAGCAACGGAGCAACACAATTGCGATTTTTGTGCTAAAAATTACAATTTTCTTTGAAATTCTATTTTTCACCTGAACTTGAAGTCTTGCTATAGAAAAAAATGTTGTATTGCACACGACGATAAAACCGCATTATCTTCTCGAGCATAATTAGCGTCTCGACTGACGTCTCGACGCTAAAAAACGCTCTCGAAGATAAAGTACAATTGTATCGTCTTGTACAATAAATAACTATTATTTTGCATTAAAATAATTGGATATTTACTTATGATAAAATTTCCATTTCGTTATTTTACTAGATTCATACAGCAACAATTCTAATAGTTTCTTTATGAACGATAGAGTTGTAGTTGAAGACTAGAATAATCCATACAGAAACATTTTGAGTTGTTTCTGTATTGTACTACACTCTCCTAGATATATATCACAGAAAACATTCCTGAGTCATTGTTTATGCA